AGAGCAGTCAACAAGGCCAGCCAGAGAGAGGGGTCAACAAGGCCAACCATAGAGAGCAGTCAACAAGGCCAACCATAGAGAGCAGTCAACAAGGCCAACCATAGAGAGTGGTCAACAAGGCCAACCATAGAGAGTGGTCAACAAGGCCAACCATAGAGAGTGGTCAACAAGGCCAACCATAGAGAGTGGTAACAAGGCCAACCATAGAGAGTGGTAACAAGGCCAACCATAGAGAGTGGTCAACAAGGCCAATCTTAGTGGTCAAGAAGGCCAACCATCGAAAGTAGTCAACAAGGCCAATCTTACAGAGTGGTCAAGAAAGTCAACCATAGAGAGCGGTCAAAAGGCCAACCATAGAGAGCGGGCAACAATTCCAACATAGAGAGTGGTCAAGGCGGCCACCTTGAGCATGCCAGGTTACCTACTCCTTTCCGTACGGCCTGCCTCCCTCTCCTTCTGCGCACTTCCTCCTCTTATTAAATCCCCAGACTGAGATTGACATCCAGTCGTGTGCAGGTTTACAATTTCCGGCCTGGAGGGGGGGAGGGGCAGGCGTCCCGGCCTGGAGAGACCTGCGAAGTGCACCTCTGCTCATTCCATCTGGGGCAAACTTTTTTTCAGCTGGAGCCTGGGAAAAAAAAATGACGGAAAAGAAAGGAAACAGTGCTTGGGCTTTGGAGAGGGGGGGGCGGGGAGAGAGGGCTGGGGGAAAGCAGAAAGGACAGATTGTCCCCTGGGGGGGATGAAGCTGTGAGCGAGAGGGAAGAGAGAACATTACTTGGGAAAACAGATGTTGGCAAGATTGTCGGATGGGGCTGACAGACGGGTGGGCGGAAGCTCAGCTAATGTAACTCAGGCTTGCTTGGGGTTTGCGAGGCATTAAAGTGGGACCTTCTCACTCAGTTCCCCCTCTCTCCCTCCTCTTCTCTGTCCCCTTTTCCTGCCCTCTGGTTCCTATTAAAGAGGAACACGGTCAAAATAACATTCGGGCTTGGTAAGGCCACACTTGGAATACGGCCTCCAGTTTTGGTCACCACGATATAAAAAAAGATGTTGAGACTCCAGAAAGAGTGCAGAGAAGAGCAACGAAGACGATTAGGGGACTTGAAGCTAAAAGAGGCAGGAATTGGGTGTGTTAGTTTAATGAAAAGGACTAGAGGTGACACGATAACAGTCATATCCAATATCTTCTAAGGGGCTCCACAAAGAAGAGGCAAGTTTGTAAACCACAATACCTGGTCTCACACAGCATGCTAAATACAAGTGAATAAACAAAGATGATCAGAGGACTTGAAGCTAAAACAGGCAGGAATTGGGTGTGTTAGTTTAATGAAAAGGACTAGAGGTGACACAATAACAGTCATATCCAATATCTAAGGGGCTCCACAAAGAAGAGGCAAGTTTGTAAACCACAATACCTGGTCTCACACAGCATGCTAAATACAAGTGAATAAACTGCCGCGTGGTTTAGCGAGAAGGAAGCCAGTCCCTCAAAGGAAAGCCACACTTTATGTTGATCAAGGAGAATACTTGCAGCTCAAGGTTGAACTGTGGGGTCCTTGATGCTCTCTGAGCTTGGGGTTTTTCTTGCAGACGTTTCAGGACCCAACTAGGGAACATCATCAGTGCTCAGTGAGGTTACCTAGTTTGGGTAATGAAACGTTTGCAAGAAAATAGCCAAGTTCAGAGAGCGCCAAGGACTCCACGCCTTCTTCTGTTGTAGAGAATTCACAAATGTCCTCTTTCTCTCTTTCCCGAAGGCGTCTGTCTGCAGAACACAGAAAGTGAAGGATACCCATCCCCTGTGGTGATCTTGCCGTTCATGAAACACGGAGATCTGCATAGCTTCCTGCTCTACTCCCGGCTCGGGGAGAGTCCCGTGGTAGGTAGCAATTAGGCCGGATCCTTGATTCTTAGCCCTAAAACAGTGGACTCCATTCCGAGGGGGCCTAAGTCCAAGAACAGAGCCTAGTCCTTGTTGGGTGTCTCCTCTGATTGTGTTCTTCTTCCTTCACAGTACCTGCCCACGCAGACCCTGGTTAAGTTCATGGTGGACATTGCAAGTGGAATGGAGTACCTCAGTAGCAAGAACTTCATCCATCGCGATTTGGCGGCCCGCAACTGCATGTGAGTGTCTACAGCTGGACAACTCTAAAAAGGGGGATTTGGGAGCAGAGATCAGCAATGAGGCCCCATCGGGACCCGTTTCAGCGTTCTGCATCTCGGCACCACCATCCAGATTTGGGGGAGCCTTTGCTGAGAATTCTGGGAGTTGAAGTCCAGAAGATTCTTGGCTTGGGATGCACAACGATTTCATTTGTCGGAGGATAGATATACAAGCTGTTGGAAAGGCCTTGCAATCTCTTACTTAAGAGTTCAGTAGCGATGTTGCTGTATGTCAGCCCTTCAAGGTGACTAGACTAGGAAACGAAAGTCCTGCACGTAAATGCTATTTTTGTTATAAGGTTGTTATTTTCTTTTTCTTTTGTTTGTGTTTAGCTTGCCTTTATGATTTTTGTAAATAACTCAGGGGGGGCAGGCATACTCCTTTCTCCTCCCATTTTCTTCAGAAAAACAACCCTGCGGGGTGGGGTGGGAGAGAAGGAGTGGTCTAAGTCACCCATCTGGCTTTCATGGCTAAGGCGAGACTAGAACTCACCGTCTCCTGGTGATGGGCCCAAAGTCCCCCAGTTGGCTTTCATGCCTAAACCAGGACTAGAACTCACTGTCTCCTGGTGATTGGCCCAAAGATACCCAATGGGTTTTCATGCCTAAAC